TGTAAAGGCAGGGTTTTTTAAGATCTATGCGTGCCAAGTACGGGAGACCCTTAATGACTGGGACCTCACCTTAAACAGGCAGCCATACTAAATGCACCGCGAACGAAATAACGCGGTTGTCTTTTACAGTTCTTGACCTTTTCTCCGCTTTACTTAGGGATTTACTTAACAACAATATTCATCATCATCCAAAGCATTTCAACTTCAAACACGCCAATCTTCATCGGCGCAATAAGCAACATACGCTTCTTCCACAGATTGATTAAAAGTAAAATATTTTTTACAATTCACAGGGAAGCGTTTTTTCACCTCTTGTAAAACGTGAATGGCTGCTTTATTAATTAATAATTTACAGCAAGTTCAGGTTAAATGCATACATCGCATTCAGGCCACACAGATAAACCTCAATCAACAGAGAGAAACGGCTACTGATAATATCCTAATATTATTTACTATTATAAAAACATAAGTAGACGTTTTATATAGTGCTAAAACAGTCACAGCTCAGACAGCCGACGTACCCCTGGACGACCCTTCGGACCGGGATAACCGGCGAGACCATCCACGCCCGGACGACCGGAGTCGCCCGGCATACCGGCAGGTCCAGGACGACCAGTATCGCCGTCAAAACCACGGTCACCCTGTAAAGAGGAGCAACAAATACAATCAAAACGAGGATTATTTGGTCGACAAAAGGGACTTCCAGTGACTTCCGGTGCATTCTGGGGTTTCTGGCAGGTGTGGTGTTACAAAGTCGGATGAAAGTGGTGCTTTTATTGGACTTGATTGTCGCAGACGTCCAAACCTTTGCATTTAAGCTGATATTATAGCACAGCAACACTTTTCAAAGGTCAATCAATTCGCTGATCGTATTCCAGATGAGGTTGCCCGGACCCTCCACTCTGAAGTAATGGCTCCGAAGTGTTCGCATCCTATGCACCGAACCTTTCGACATATGTCCTGCCGTGTCAGCATTCGGTTCTGTCATTTCAAGCAGGATACCTCGAGTGAAACGGTACAGAAATCCAGAAGCTGTGATTAGACCCGTCCCCATTATAGATGGGGATTTTATGTGAACCTCTAGATCCATAAGAAGTTTGTTAATTTGTCCCATGGTTTCAGTGAACGGAGCCATTTTTTGCTAAAAAAACTTTGGATATTACCACCCAAATAAAGCGTATTAAACTCGGGTCATTAAAACTTGCAGTTCATTTGAGTCCTGAAAGAATTTGCCTTGGACTACTGACATAGATAGGAGGATACTAAAAAAGTGTGGGAAGTGTCCTAACAGGGTACGATTTAAATGTTCTGATCTGTATGTGGGGGTTTCCATTGCCAAAAAGTTGGACTGTAAAAAACGGTTTGCAGACTGACAGTTGTTCAAATGGAAATGTGAGGTTCCAAAGTGCGAATACTACTACTTACCGGCTCACCGACACGACCGGGATCACCAGCATCTCCATGCTCACCCTAAAGTTGAAATTGTTTAAAGTAAATTGTGGCAGCAATGTTACAGGAGGAAAAGGGTGAACGCATTTAATGGAGCATTAAATTACCCGATCACCTTC